CTCTTTACAAACTGTAGTTCCCAAGTAAGTGAACTAATCCACAGCTTCTGCTACTCCTTGTCCGTCTATCATAATTAGTTCCTGGTTCTTTGCATTAATTCTCATCACCTTTGTCTTCGTCATGTTGATTTTTAATCCCACTCGTCTGGCTTCGTCATATCATCCATTCTTACTGTTGCTTATCCTGAATCTGCTGTTTGGTGGAGGATATTAGCACTACATCTGCAAAGTCTACGTTGTCTAATTCAGATGCGAATTTCCACCTAATACCATTCTCACCATGACCAAATGTCCTTCTCATGACCCAGTCTATAACAATCAAGAACAAAAAAATCTGACATGTTACATCCCTGTTTGACGCCGGTTGTATAATTAATTTCAAACCACTCGACTATTTCTCTTTGGTCTTCTACAGTATACACTTGAAATCTTCATAGCATATTTTTACCATTTTAATAATCTTTTATGGGACTCCGTTTTTCTTCGTGATTGCCCACATGCTTTCTCGGTGGATAGAGTCGAAAGCCTTTTCAGATAGAGTGCTGCTTGCAACTCGTTAACCTGCTCAACGATATTCCGCAGTATAAATACCTGTTCTGTTGTACCACTGCCTTTTCTATATCCTGCCTGTTCTTTCCTTAACCTGTCATCTACTCCACTTCTTATGCTATCGATCATAATCCTGTATAGTATCTTTCCCACAACAGAGAGTAAGGTTATGCCTCTCCAATTCTTGCAGTGTTTGGTATTTCCTTTCTCTGCTAGTTTGATGATTAGACCTCGCCTCCATCTCTTCGGGATCTTCTCATACTGCCATATTCTTCATCAGTTGATATATTTTCTCAGATGAAAACTCTATGTCTGCTTTCAGTAACTATGCTGTTACGGAGTCAATTCCCAGTACTTTCCTATGCTGTAATCCCTTTATCACTGCCTTGACTTCGCCTAGAGTTGGTTCGTTTACTGCCATCTCTTCTACTGTGTCATGGACGTCATCCTCCTTATCGTCAGTCATTAGGTTTGCTGGTGCTTCCCTATTTAGAACCTCCTTAGCGTGTTCAGTCCATCTTACCTTTACTTCATTTTTACTAGTGACGAGGTTTCCATTCTTGTCTAGAACCGTTGTCTATATCTTTCATTGCACAGCATCTTTGTAAGCCCGTATAGTGTCTTTATTTGTTGGCTCTTTGCAGCTTCTTCTGCTTCATCTGCAATGTTCTACGTCCACTTCCTCTGATCTGCTTTTATGCTCTTCTTAACTTCTCTGTCCTTTGCTCTATACTTCGCCCTTAAGTTGTTCTTGTCCCTTCGTCTGTCAAAAAATTTGGTAAACCTGCCTTGTCCCTTTCCAAAAACTTTGAGATCCCCCCAAAAAGTCCCCCCTTCCCTGCGGTATACATAATGACTGCAGTCTAAATGTCTTCAAGATGTTTTCATTTTTCAGCTTGGTCGTATCGCACTTGACTCTAATTCCTTCCTTTTCCTTTGGTTGGTTCAATGGGCCATTTGCAATAAGAGGTCATGTGACATCGTGTTTATGAAAATGAAAGTTATATGATTTTGCCTTTGAAAAACGATTAGTGGGTCATGTCTTTAACAAAATAATACTGATTTGGTTTTTCAAACCCGCACCATTTTCTTAAAATTAGTAAGTTTGTAGCTGGTCACGTGAGCAAAATGTGATTTTAAAATTATGAATTACCTCTTTTTGAACACGAATTTTGCACTTAAACTTCAACTTTATCATAATCCCAGTTTTCTTCTCCGACCTTAGTGTTCATTTCTCCAGTGAAGATCAGCAAATCATGTTTGTTCCTGTTGTCTAGTACATCTTGCAGTCTCATTCCTCTTTCACTTGCTCATCCGCCTCTTCTGTAGGTGCATAGATGTGCAGCTCGATGTGTTGGGAAGAGGACCGTGCCTGAATGATCCTTTCACTGATTGGAGCCAGTCCATCAGGGCTCTTGCTGCACTTTTTGACATCTGTATACTTACTCCTTCCATATGATTGTCGTCATCTCCTCCAGAGTAAATGATCGTTTCTTCTGTCAGTTGCATTTTCCCTTGGCCCTGTCCAGTGTGTTTCGCTGATACCCATGATGTCTATGATTTTAAAGGTCATTTCTCTAGCTACTTGTGCAATGTTACCACTCCTGTACAGTGTACGTACATTCCAGTTTCCGATCTTTACGATGTTTTGGGGGTGTACCAGTGGCCTTTTCAGCTCGGTGGCGTCCTGTTGGACCGGCCACAGTGTTCCCTTAATAAAGTGAATTTCTCTGCTTTTGGTTTCTGTGATAACAGGGTTTTACGGGAGAGGGTTATCAGCCCTCAGCCCAACCTGGGTGACCAGGGGATCACCCTTAGTCTGGTCTCTATCTTTCGACCTGGTCGAAATGGGTGCGCCCTAGCAAGAGTCAAAGACTCCAGCTAGCATATCTCTATGGGTCATTGAAACACGCAAACCACTCCACCAAGGTAAGGTTCCCAGCAAGCCCCTCGTGAAGCTATTTTGAGATCAGTTTAGGCCAAAATGCCGAATGAGCCTCATCAAAGAACTATTAATAGATTTCAGCCCAATTTTTGAAAAGGCATAATTGAATATGAGAGTACTTTTGAAAAGCCAAATTAGACTCGGAAATGAAGCACCATTTTTTTTTTTATCGATAAAACGCTCCCGGCGTTTATTTAAAAATCAGCAGTTTCAACTCGGCGTTTATTAATGAAATGCAATTTTCTGTCACTTTTTTTAAATCAGTTATTTTTACTACCTATCCTCGGAGACAGGGGGGAAGTCTATTAGAACGGTACGATTATTCCCTTCGTCCTCAGTGCCCCTCAATCTTCGAGGATGATTACCTTACCTACATTACCCAAAGTTACAGTATTATACTTGTTGGGCAGCGTCCATCCTAGTTAGGTTACGCTGCATTTTTCTTTGAACGTTTATGAAAATACCAATTACAACATACTGTACTTGGTATGTCTTGACAGCGTTGTTCAAGAGATAACAAATACTTGTAACTGGTCCTTGTGACCTCGACCGCAAATAAACACCGGAACCTCGATCAAACACCGCTTTCCCGATCAAACGCCCCCGGCGTTTATTTAAAAATCGGCAGTTTTGACCCGACGTTTATACACAGGACGATAAAACAAGAATAAGTAAACTTAAACAAACTGGAAACTAGGACTGCAAACAAATTTTCAATTCATGGCTTCCTTACACATAGCCAAAAAAGCGTTCTGAGGTTGATAGTTTCTTTGATTGTATCAGGAGCGACTTTTCAAGCGCGCAAAGTCACTCTATCAAAGTATTTCTCGTTTCCGTCGACGTTGTGGGTAGTTGCGCTGAGCTTCTGGTAGCGTTACAACACAAACCAAACACTAGACCTTATTCACAACACCCGCCATCTTTGCATGCCCTAAAGGACTGATGGGATAAACGCAATGTCACGTGATTTCTTAGGCGCAAACATGTGAAAAAATTGTCAATACGAGTAATCGCGGTTGAGTTTGTTTATTCTATCAAAACGAGACGACGATTTTATAGTCATGCAAAATGTTAGTATCGACTGGTTTTGGCACGATTTACGTCATTACTGTTTGCCATGAGGACATTTACGATAGCTACTGCATACATAAAAGTACGTAACAATGATCACTTCCACCCATTTTGCCTGAAAGACCGACGATTCGATGGAAAACGCGCGACGATACGTCCTCAAGTACGGAGGATCACTCCAAACTGTTTCCCTGCAAGCAGCAGAAACTCAGCCGGAAAGGGGGGTGTACTGCCGTGCGTTTCTGAGTGGATCGGACCGAGGAGAATTCGAGGTCCATAAAAACGAATTTATAAAGAAGTTTTCTTTTAAGAATATAGCAGAGCAAAGAAGATAGGCAGATCTTGTCCGCTCAAGTAGCTCGGTAATCAAAACACAGTATAGACTTCATATCGCCAAATCGCGGAGCCAGTCATATCATTAAAAAAATTGTTTTTGGCATGAAATGACTATTTAACGATTATTCCTTGTCTCCGTGGCAGGAGTTCGGAAGGTAAGGGGAAGGGAATTAGGGCGCGTGACCACGCGCGAGGGAAGAGGGAGGAGGGGAACGCCTGCAAGGAAACCATTGTTTTCGCCATCCCGCCTACTAATTAAACAAATCACAAAAATAACGCAACTATGAATGACTAGCTGTCAAATAAGTCTGGCCGCGATGTAAGTATTCTAGTCGTATTTCTCACACTGTTTTTCTTTTGTTTTCCTAAAACAAGAAATCTAAAGTAAAGGTACTATAAACAAAGTTCAAATGCGGTCGTCAATCGAAGGAATCTTCCTTGAAAGTTACAACGACGCGTGCCGAGTTACATAAAATCCAGCATAAATCTATTCAAGTTGTTGCTGAAGCAATCGGGCTGGAAAACTATTTAGTAAGAAATGTAGCGGCTCTTCGAAACTTGCAATGCAATGTTTGTCAAAGAAAAATTAAAACACTTTGCCGTCACGCACTCTTTGAATTTCTATCAGGATCCAGCGGAGCACACAAAAGAACGATGGTGGGGGGGAAAGAAGAGCTGAACTTCGAAGATATGCAAGAAGGCAACAATTTATTATAAAAGTAAGTTCCTGGCGGTTTTATAACCGGCGAGAAGAAGTCCTCAACCAAAAATCGCCAAAAATTATAGATCCCTTCGTCTTCAATTATTATGCCGTTGATAACGCGGGTCAAACAGCAGATAACAAGTACACAGGCAGCATGATTTTTCCTTTCTTTCTTCTAGCGAGTAAAACCGACAAGCCGTTAAGAGATGATACTTTTCAGAACGCGTCAGTAAAACTCATCTGCTGACAGGCCTTTTTCTTCATACGGTTCTTTAACTGCGTTTTTCTATTCTCCTTTTAAGCTGAAATTGATGCCTTCTAACGATGAATTCCCGTAGAGATATCTCATCACGCTTCACTAACGACATATGTTTAGTTTAATACTCAAATGGCGTGATGTTGATTTCAACCAATCGGAAAAAGGTATTAAGTCGAAGATTGACATTTAATTAATTCTGACCAATCACTATTTTCACGCTCAGAATCTGAGCGTGTGGAG